AAATTCAGTCCTCTTTCCAATAAAAGTACTACACTATCCTCCAGAGTTGTACTAGATAAATTGATTACCTAATCATTCCCCACTTAGTTACAAACATGGTTATTAAGATTTTTATTCTTCCTAGGTGCAAAACTTTTCGACCTTATTCTAATTCCTAAATTCCGGAGCTTCTTATCATGTATCCGACGCGTAATTCTGTCAATCGCTTCTCCTAACCCGTCAGCCATGTCTTGCAACTTAAGGAAATCCACATCATTCAATAGTTCTGAGAAAGATTTTCTAAGTTTAGTTTTGGTTCTAATTAGTTCATGCAGCTTGGTAATGCTTTCCTTGAGGCTAGTTTTAACTAAACCACACTTTATTTGATCTAGATCTCTATTTGTGGATGTCGGTAGATTATAACATCTACCAAGTAAACAACACCTAGGAACAACATTATGAGAAATACACATTTTTAAAAATATAATTCCATTAACTAGCCGGGATATAGTTTTCTTAATTGTAGTGTAGCGAGAAGACAAATGACAAGGAATCGAACCGTACGTACATACGTCATACTTGCTCACTGACTTACGCAGTCTCGGTCAGGGCTTTCTTTAAGGTCATTAGGCATTGATGATCAGAGCCTAACTTTGACCTTTTGATAACTATGATTTAGGACCGGTATTGCGTATAGACGCTAACACACACGCGCAGACACTTGAGCAAAAGTAGAAGGACAAGTATGAAAGATAATTAGCCAAACCAATCTATATCCATCTAGTTTTTTTATTTTTAATTTTCTTTTGGCTTAGCTTAGTCTATATAGGAGGTAAGAAAAAGCCGGACATTTGATATTTACAAGAATGGCACCCAGCTCTGATGATGTCCATCATATGATGGACTCAGCACGTTTTCACCAGAAACGAGGGAGAAAGTCCCGTGGACTGCGTCAACATGAATATCGAATAAAATTCAACCGGCTGCAGTACAACGAGTTTCATTCGTCCTCATCTGGTGAGATCGACCAACCAATCTGTTCTTCATGCACTTTCATACGAAATGATGGTCCCGTTAACAATGTTATCTCAGGATATTTATCAAAACCTAATTTCTCTTCGTATCTAGTTTACCAAACTCATTAGAGTTTGTAGATACGAAGAGAAACTGGGTTTCGATCAATCTACTGAGATAACATTGTTAGGAGGACCTTAATTTCGTATGAAATCACATAAAGTAGAGATTCGTTGGTCGATCTCACCAGATGAGGACGGTATGGCACTGGACATATCTCATTTTACAACAGCCATATTTACCAAAAACGTATGAGATATTAATTTCTGCTGCAACCTCAGCTGCTGTGCCTGATCCACTTATAGAACCGGAAAATAGTTATCGAATATAATTTAGAAGTAATATAAGATGTATTCACCCTATTTCGTTTAAAGTGATGAAGGTAGTTGAAATTTCTCGCAATGATATAAGTAGAGCTGACGCTTCCGTTAAATTTCAAATATACTTGCATTTCAAATAAGTGCTCTCATCCAGGATGGACTGTTGTTTCGACCTTGCCAAGGTCTTATCAACACCTCAGCAGGATTCGAACCATGACAGTAAAGTGTGTAATCTCATCATGTTAC